CAGAGAGTGCAGTGGCTGGGGAGGGGTGAGGGTGTCTCACCAGAAATATGTCATTGTCCCCAGTACTGCCCCTCATGGCTATTGCAGTTCTGAAATGTTTTAGGCAATGCTGTGATCAATGTCTGTCTGTTTCTGATCAATATCTGTCTGCTGCACTGCAAGCAGGCAGGGACCAGCTCTGCTCTCCCAGGTGCCTCGGATACCAAGCATAAGGCTGTTGCTCCATCAATATTTGTTGGAAGAACCGGTGAAGGAATCAATGAATGAGCAAATGAACAATGCCCCACCCCCACCACAATGCCTGGCCCAATGCCTTGTGCATAGTAGGTGTTCAGAAAATATTCGCTGAGAAATATTTTGGCTTTCTTACACTTTCTAGCTCAGGTGTGTATGTTTGATGCCTTTGAGGCCCTGGGCAGGGCTAAGCCCTGGGGTGGGGCAATCTGCTTCTGATGTGACTCAGGGCTCGAGGGACTCCTCGCCACAGCAAGCCCATCAGACAGCCCCTGAGGTCTGCCTTCAGGGAGGTGCAGACAACTCAGGCCAGCCAGCCCAGGGCAGGGAGAATACCTGTGCCAGCAAGTCTCGGCTGAGAGAGGCTTTTGGCAGAAATTGTCACGTTTATTTCCCTTGTTTTCCCCTAGAAATCCCAGTCATCACCTAGACCCTTGATGGGTCGAGCTGGAGAAACCCCTGGCCCAGATGACCCCAGAAACCACTGCCCTTTCCTGAGAGAATCTGAAAGGGGGGCATTTGAAATGGAGAGAGAAGAGAACCGACCCTCAAAATGCAAACAGGCTGCTAAGAATAGGATCCTGGGCTGCTGCTGAGGGTGTACAATGCACTATGGTTAAAAGCACTGATTCAGAATGTGTGAGCTGCCATTCTGCTCTCTTTCTGGGAATCTGAGCTGTGTGACCTCAGGCAGGAGAGCAGCCTCTCTGATCCTCAGTCTGTACTTGTTAACTCTGCAAACCACTCAGGAGCACAACAGACTCATGGGTGCAGAAAGGGCCTGTGGTGTGTCCCCAAGGTTATGAGATGGCTGTCCCAGGCCCTCTGCTGGGGAATTGGGCTTTAAATCCAGCTCATCTGGCTCTAAACTCAGGGCTTACCCTCTTCCCACGCTGTCCCTGTCAGGGGCAGAGTTTGGTGGGTGCGAATCAGTCCCTTTTGATGGAAAAACAGCAGAAGGGGGATGGCTCATTACCTGGGGGAGATGGGCAAGGATGCAGGGAGAGGCAGCTGGGACTTCCCCACCCTGATTCCCTGGCCCCCTCCTCAGGGATCCATGGGCCTCTGACCCTGGACAAGTCACAAGGCTCAGCTGAGGCTGAAACGCCTTGTCCACTTCTAGATCTCACCAGAACCTGACTTTAAAGGGGCCTTTGGAAGCATGCAGCACTGAGGGGACACCCCAGAAAGCTCCCGGGATCCCCAGTGGCCCTCAGGCCTGCCAAGGACCCTCTTGGAACCTGGCCTCCTCATGCTGCTGGCCCAAACTAGCAGCTCTCCACCATGGGAGGGGGGGGTCTCTCACAGTCTCTGTGCCCCAGACTCGGTGCCCAGCACCTATAAGACAGTCAGCAGAGGCTGCCCAGCATGGAGTAGACCAAGTCTCCTCCTTGCTTTGCCACAGGTTCGACAATGAAGAACCCAGGTGCAAGCCTGAGTTGGGTCCTGGGTGCCCCATGGCAGAACGCAGCCATTTACAGGTAGCAATTGAGGGAGCCCTGGTGCTCCTCCCCAGCCTGTCTCATGGGCCTGCTGCAGTTGCCTTCGAGTCCCCGCCTCTGCCTTTGTACTCAGCCCTTATAGTCCAAGGTCAGCAACCTGTGTATCCCGAGGCTCCCAGAACGGCCTACAGTGCTCCATCTGCTGCCCCGGACCTGAGTGGGAACAGGTTTGCAGAGGACACTGGGGATGAGCCAGGGGAATGGGGACAGGGCTGGTGAGGACAGAGAGAGTGGGGGTAAGGCCAGCCTGTAGCCATCAGTGACACTGGAGGCCAGCCTTCCAAAGCCTAAAGCCGTGAGGCTGGGGGCCATGGAGGTCCCCAACCCCCGAGGCTCTCTCAGGGACTGGAAAATGTTCTAACCATTTCTGCAACTTTCATAAGCTGCTGCCTTTGAAGTGAGATGAAGTCAACAACAGCGGAACTTCAGCAACCTGAAACTACTCAGGTGGCTGATGTGTGCAGTTCACACACATCCTGGAAAACTCACAAAGGAACTTCACAAAAATTTTTAAAAATTAAAAAGGTAAATAACTGGTAAGCACTCAAAAATTACTTCTACCAAGAGCTGGAGAAATTGTCCTGTCTCAGTTGCAGGCGACATGGCTGACTCTTAGAAACCAGGTGACCTTTCGTGGGAGAAAGACTGTGATGTGACTTCAGGAGGATGTGGGTCTGTGGCCTGCCTCCTCGTGTCACCCTGTCCCACGCACTGCACTACCCCACTCACAGGGCCCTGCCTGGACAGGAAGATGCGCTGTCCCGGAATAGATGCATCCAGAAGCTCGGCCTCCTGTCGAGGGCAGCCCCCTCCCCACTCAGACCTGTTCGGACCATAAAGTAGAGCACAGGGAACCGGCCAGGGGGTGCCCCCTCCATCCCACGCTTGCCTGACTGGCCGCCCCTCCACACCACCCTCTTGTGGTTGGCTGAGTAACAGCCTTGGAAGATGTCCACATCATAATCCCTAGAACGTACAAATATGCTCCCTTCTATGGCAAAAGGGGCTGTGCGGATGTGATCTGGAGATGGGGAGATGATCCCCGATTATCCAGTAGGCCCAGTGTCATCACGAGGGTCCTTAGGACAGCAGGAGTGTGAGAGTCAGAGAAGGCCATGTGATCTCGGAAGCAGAGTTAGGCTTGATGATGCCATGCTCTTGACAATGGAGGAAGGAATCACCAGCCATGAGTGCAGGTGGCCTCTAAAAGCCGGAAAACGCAGGAAAACACTCTCCTAGAGCGCCCGGAAGGAACCAGCCCTGCTTATCACTTGACTTTAGCCCAGTGAGACTGACTTCAGACTTCCGGCCTCCAGCACTGTGGGATCACAAGCTTGTGTTGCTTTGAGCCACTAGGTTTGGGTGATTTATAGCAGCTTCTGTAGTTTGGATGTGTGAACCCCAAACCTCGTGTTGGAATCTGATCCTCAATGCTGGGGTTGGGTCTAATGGGAAGTGTCTGGGTCATGGGGGCAGAACTCTCACGAATGGTTTGGTGCCTTCCTGGGGGTGGTGAGTTCTTGCTCTCCTTGTTCCCACAAAAGTGGGTTGTTAAAAAGAGCCTGGCGCCTCCCTCCCCTGGAGCTGTCCTCCCCTCTGTGATATCTGCACAGCCAGTCCTCTTTACCTTCCACCCTGAGTGAAGCAGGCTGAGGCTGTCACCCAATGCCCAGTCCCCAGCCAGCAGAATCGTGAGCCAAACAAGCCTTTTTTTCCTTTATAAACTCCCAACCTCAGGTATTCCTTTACAGCAACAGAAACTCACAAAGCTCCCAGAGCGACGGCTGCTCCAGCCAATGCAGCTTCTGCCCGCACGGGACCTCTTCTGCCTCTGCAGCTCCCCAGGGAACCTTGCCCTGTGAAGTGATGGGAAAACCCGATTCATCAGTGATGTTTCCCATCAGTCCCCATGGGATCCACCTCACCATAAGCAGCACGGCTGCCTGGAGGGTGAGATTTCTGGAGCAACAGGAAAATACCCACCCACACAATCTCTCCACACTCAGGGGTCCCTAGAGTTCCTCCACCCGGAGCACAGACTTTGCTTCAGTTCCCAAATTGAGTCATTTTGTGGGGAAGAGGCGTGCTCCTCATCAGGATCCATCCTGAGGGCTGGTTTCTTGGTGGGGAGTAGGTGGCCTCAAGGGAGAGGCTTTGACAGGAAACCTGAAAGGGAGGAGGAAGTCGAGCCCTCAGCTCTCAGAAATGCACTCAGCCTATCCTGCTCCTGACTCCCCCTCGCCCTCCAGTCCCTGCTGGGCAAAGCCATTCCTGACGCTGGCAGGAAAAGACGGGCTTTTCCCTATTCCAGGCCTGGACACACCAGCCCCCAACCTCAGCACACCACTGTGGAAGGTGGTGCTAGGGAGAGAGGCTCCCCCAGGAAGGTCTGCCCAGAACTAGGGGACCCACCAGGGTCCATGCTGTGCTCAAGAGGGCCCAGCTTCCAGAGCCCTAAGCCTGAGAGGTCCCTTCTGTATGGGCTGAAAAGTGTCCCCCAAATTCATATGTTGAAGTCCCAGGCTCCAGTACCTCAGAATGTGACTGCATTTGCAGATAAAGTTTTTAAAGAGATGCTGAGGTTAAAATGAGGCGATCAGAGCGCGCCTTCATCCACTCCGACTGGTGTCCTTATAAGGAGGGAGAGGCAGCAGGGGCATACAAGTGTGGCCACATGAACACACAGACAGAATCCGCCATCTGCAGGCCCAGGAGAGAGGCCCCCGGAGAAACCAGCCCTGCAGTGCCTTGAGCTTGGACCTCTGGCCTCCGAACTCAGAAAATCAGTTTCCACTGTTCGTGGTCTTTTGTCCTGGCTGCCCCAGCTGAGCGCACACCACCTCCTCCTGCGGGCTTGCCCTCAGTGGAAATGGCACGTGCCAGAGATGCCGGGGGTCTCAAATTCACAGCTGCCAGGGGCCAGGCAGGCCACAGGAACAAGGCCTGTTGTCACCTAACCTTCAAATTTGAAGGTCTGAAGACAACACTAGGCCTGACTGTGGGCTGGGCCGGACCTCCCACCCTGACTCACGCCCCAACAGGACTCGCATAGGGGGTTCCTGGGTAGCATCTGAATCCTCTCTCTGGTCTTGGGTTTTCCTCTGTCTGCTGCTGGCACGACCACACCTCGTCTCTCACCCACCAGAACGGCTGTAACTGCCCTTTACACATGCCTGTACAACTCATGCGGGTCCGACACTAAACCACCACAATTCATTCACGCACACAGGACACCGTAAAAGCACCTCCCAGGAAGAGCTGGGCTGCAGAGGAAGAGCACGCGCCCTGCAGGCATCACTCATATGGATCCATCTTTAATTATGTTAAATATTAATAAAAGTACAGCATAACTGCGGTTCACTTAACGTACTTTACAGGACTAAGGGAGTACAATTTAACACAATCTGGTACACAGCTTTTGAGAACACAAAGGAACTTCAATACCACGTCGTGAGAAATGCTCCAATTCACTTTGGTTTTGAATGGCAGGCTCGAGAACCACCGCCCAGAACGGAACCTGTGCTGTCAGCAAGAGCCGGGCCTCGAACCAGAGGAAGCAGAGGCAGCAGATGTGCCCTCTAAGAAAGGCTCCTGGAGGGAAAGACCATGTCTGGATGGCATTGATTGGCACAGAAGGGATGGGCCTGCATATATAAAAAAGATCCGCATAATAAACCAAATAATATTGGAAATAATACCTTCAGTAATACTTCTGTAAGAAGCAGAATTACACCACATGTTATTCACATGCATAGGAGTGCATAAGAAAAATCCCTTGTTGTAATTATGGTTGGTATGGAATAGTAAAATATGTACTGAAAATGACAAGTTAATTGGCAGAGAAATTAATCTATAAAGGGTTGTGTCCAGAGTGGAGGAGCCTCATCAGCAACTGAACAGAACCCACTCAGAAGATGCACCCACCCACACGAGCACACACGCGCACACACGCACTCTCTCTGTACTGCAAATAAATATACACACACACTGAAGTGATCTCTCCCTGAAGCATCCTTGTGCTCAAGCCAGGTTTCCCTGCTGGTGGCTGCTCCCAGTGCCGCCTATAGAGGAGCAGGGAACTGTCCCTGCCGGTGGGCATAAAGGACACACAGCACCTTCAGTAGCAGAAACAGCCCCGACCACCCTGGCTCTGCGCCCTCTGCAGGCCTTCAAACAGGCTGTGCATCCCTTCTCCAATGGCAGAAAGACAACAGCACCAGGAGGGGACGGAGTGACTGCAGATCCTCCCAGCCCCGAAGCCCAGTCTGTCTCACACGTACAAGTTAGAGTTCGGGAGACAGGTGCTTGCCCTTTCTGGCTTTGGTGGATGAGATCTTGGCCTGGGAACTTTGGTTCACAGGAAGCTTCCCTTGACAACACTTGAGTGCAAAGCTTCATCCAGGTCCCACCTGGGCTGTTGCCAAGGATGCTCAAGCCTTCTCTTAGTCTTCCCCATGACTTCCAAGACATGACAAGACCTCTAGCCCCTCCAGTGGTAAACCAAGCTGCCAAGTAGCCTGCAAAGTTCCATGAAGAACACGGCTCTTAGAAATCTCATTCCAAATCTCAATATGCCGTGTTCAGCCCAAGCTCAGCTTGTGCACCGTGTTTCAGAATGGGGACACGAGTATCTGCAGTCCTTTAGCTGGGTGAGGAACTTTGACCACATGTAGTAGAGAATGTGGAAATAAACTCTTCCCAATGGGAAGGCAGAGAAATGGAGCCTGCAGCCGGCCAGAACTAAAGATTAAAATCCTCTGTTTCTCTGAAGATCTTATAAACCTGATGAGGGCTTGAATTACCTAGATTTTCCATGAAGTGTTCAATTCCTTGAGGTTGCTCATTCTGGCATTAACAGTAAAAATTTCCCTTCCAATTATAAACTGAGTTTCTTGAGAGAAAGTATAAAGAGCAGCAGAGAGCGAGCGAGGGCTGGTCAAATGCAGAAAGTGGTTTGTTTTAAATGCATTCATTTTCTGTGTTAACATAAGTAAAGTCCACAGGACAGGACAGGTCAGAGAGATGATGGTGCTGCCAAAAACTGACTTATTTTTTCCCTTTTGGAAACAGTAAGGTAACAGGGTTTACATCTGAAGAAACTGCAGGGCTGACTTTGGAGTAAAGGAGAAAAAAAAAAAGGAAGAGCCTCCATTCTCGAAAGACTGCAGTTCTCTGTCCCAATGAGTTTTGCGATCTCAACTAGAGTGTTTCAGAAGTGAATGTGATATGATGACACCTGTGAAGATAGCCACTGAATATAGACAGCCTGGGCAACACGGCGAGACCCCATCTCTAGGGGGAAAAGAAGCGAATGTGAAGTGTGAGTTCCAGCCAGGCCATGACCTGTGGCGTGACCTCTGGCGTGCTGACTCAGCACCCAGACTCAGGCTCTCCAGAAGGCGGAGGCGGGCAGGGCAGGCCGGGCTGCCTCCCCAGGTGTTCTCTCCACGCCCAGTGCAGGGCAAGCTATATGCCTCCCCACGCTTCAGGAGACTCTCGGAGCAGAGCTGGATTCTTGAGAAACTGGGGTCTCTGCTGGCCTCAGACAGAAAAGCTCTGTGAGGGGTCCATTGCTGAGCTCTTGAACATCACAAAGGAAATTCCAAAATGGTTCTAATTGATGTGTGCCTAGAGTGGTGGAGTCCTGGGGTTCTCCACACCGTGAGTGAAACAATTCCCCACAAAGAGAGATTTGTAAAATCCTGGCGATGACAGCACAGACGGGCCCAGCACGTGCAGCACGAGTTCAGCTCTCACGTTGTCTTCCACGCAAACGCCTCATCAGCAAGGACCTGCGCCAGCCTAGCATTGAAGGGCCTGTAGAAATCCCGCAGAATCTTCTGTGTGATCGGCCACATGGGCCCCAGGTTCCGGTCCTCAGGACGCCGTGCATTGGATGCGGGGCTCTTGGTCATCAAGGCCTCCTGCTTCTCACTCAAGGGCCCTAGAATAAAAGAAGATGAGTCCTGTAAGGCAGGAGGCATGGCAGGAAGTAAAAGGGACTTGGCAGAAATCCCAGCTATGCTTTGTATTCAGACAGGAGTTTCCTCTAAGAAGAATGTATTTGGGGATTAAAATTCTTTGGCTGGATCCATTTTGGAGGCACTAAGGGAGGAAGGTGGAAACACCATTAGGAAATTGCAAAGAAATTCTATGGCGGGCGCAGGATGCCCACCCTTGGGGGCGCCCAACTGGCATTTAATGACGATACAGCGCCCAAGGCTGACCTGAAGGATTCCCTTCCAGCAGCCCTGGATGGGCTGCTCCCATGGGTGTCAGCTCATCCTTGGAGGAATGTGCAGCCTGCCGGCCACAGCCCATGGGCTTCAGTCCTCCTGCTCAGCATCCCTCCGGAATTCCACCATCATCGTTTCTACTTTAGGCTGCTCATGCCAAGGGCCCCAGGCCCGGACAGTTTCACCCTGTGCATCTTGCTATGAAGTGGCCATAAGGAGGAGGGTAGGGAGGAGGCCACCTGTCCCCAGAACCCCCACTGGCTGAACCTCCATCTACAGCAAGGAGATCGTGAAGAGAGGCCCTGCCGGCAGGGGCTGTCGGTCACCCCCACATCCCACCCTCTGGGCCACAGCTTCTTGGTGTAACCCATCACTGCTCAAGCCTCTTTACCCGGGGCTCTTGGGATCTGGCTAAAGTCCTTAGCCCATATACAGAAAAAGCATGTCCGAGCATCCTAGGGTCATATAAGATACAGAATTGACTTTACTGTCCATCTTGGGGACAAAAGACAAGCTCATTAATGGGACAGAGTCAACATGGGGCCAAATCAAAGAAAGATGATTCTAAGCCTTGGAAGGGAAAGAACTCATCAAAATCCATCATATTACCAGGTCTCCAAAAAAAGGAGAAACAAAATCAAATGATCAAAGAGGCCCAAGTCCCAGTGGTAGGCAGATATATTTCCAGAAATATTCAATTAACAAAGTTCCCGGGCAAAACCATTAGTCAGGGCTGCAGGAGGTATTCTGGGAAGGAGGGCAGCTTGTTCCGAGCCTGCTCAGCCTTTCAAGCCATCCTTGGGTGCCCCATCCACATGGGCAGCACTTGCCACCTGTACACATGCCTCTGCCAGCCATCGTCACAGCCAGTAGTGTGGCCTGTCACCACAAAGTGCCGCTCAGGCCCCTGGGGGAGGGGGCTGGTATCCACATGCTAAGGGCCCAGCAGCCATGACCAGCAGCCAAAACTCAGCCATCTCCAAGAACACCCAAGATGATACAATGATCTGTCTGTTCCCTCCTCCAAGCCCCATATCCTCTGCTCCAACCCCCTAGTGACATCCTGTTGGTCCTACAAAGCTCAGCTCTCAGGCCCTTCCCTTCCACGAAGGCTTCCTCATCCCTGCAGTAGCTGGGATCCCAAGCCATCAGCACATAACTTTCAAGACAGTGCTGACCTTCCCCATGGCAGCCTACCTATCATTCAGTTAGGTGTCCTACGAATTCCTCCTCTGTCTTCACTAGACCATAAGCTCCCAGAAGGGAAGCCAACTCCTCCTCTCCAGAGACTCCCTCACCACAACCCCACTAATGACCTGTGTGTAGTTGGTGCTCAATAAATGGTAGTGAGCAGGCCTCTCTGAGGGCATCCTGAGTGCTTCCAGCTCAGCCCATCCCCATCCAGCTGGTCAGGTCCGCATTTGACCCAGAAGGCTCCCAGAACAAGTCCATGGAGCTCATGCTTTGCCTCGTAAGTCTAAGCACCACACTCATACCTAGGTTCAGAAACTGGAAGACCTTGTGCATGGTGTACTTGACATTGGATGCATGATCCTCCAGGCGAAGAATGAGAAACTGCTGCTTGTCAAAAACGCTGAGCCAGTCCAGAAGGTACACAGCATAAAGCCCGACCTGGAGCCTCACCTAGGACCATAGAGGAAGGGCATTATTTCAGGAGCAGTGGCCCTGGCATCATAGGGCACTTTTCCAATTGTGGCATGGCATTTCACTATACCACAAAAGAGTTACCCTAGCGAAGTTAATTTCAGAAGCTGGATTTTAACACAAGGCGTTCTTGCTTCTTTATGGGGAGTTTTGTGCTGCATGTACAAAGAATTCCTATACTAGGGGCTGCATTTAATCCTCACAACACCCTGTAAATAGCTCCGTGCCTCCGCTTCACAGGTAAGGACTGAAGTGCAGGGAAGAGGTCAAGGGTGTGCCACCCAGTGGTGCGTATGTTCTTTGCACAATATCCTGGCTGTTTCTCCGCTCCCCAGGTGTGACCTCTATGCCTAGCACACAACGGGCTGTGAAAAATCAACCACAGACACCCCAAAAACAACCTAGATGAGTGACGAGCCAAATGCCTGCTGCCACAGGAACAGCCTTGACCGTGAGGGTATGTGTCAGTCAGTGGCTAATCGGCACTTAACCAAGTCCACAGGTGATGTTTCTATTTGAATCCTTTCTTCTTTCCATTACCCACTTCCTGGGTCTTCATCCTTCTGTTTCTTCTCTCGTGCCTTACCGCAAGCTGTGTGGTGAAGATTTAACTCTACTCAAAGAGAGCGCTAGTCTTTCCCTCGGCTCCTGGGGGGTGATCTCTAGGCCCCTGGACATCCTCCCGGACAGAAGTGTCTTGGTTGGCCCGCGGGCTTTGGCCATAGGCAGGTTAACACTGTGATTTATGATGGGGCTTTGGGCCATGTGGTGTCAGTTCTGACTGGTAGGACTGGAGGCTGAAGGTCAGCCACAGGAGCCGCATGTGATGGAGCCCCAGTAAAAAGCCTGGACCCCCAGGGCTTGGCCTGGCAATGCTCCACGAGGATTGTCACACACCACGGCTAGTGGCGCGATCACCATGTATGACTCCACAGTCAGTGGACTCAGAGCTCTGCATCTGGGTCCCCCTGGACTCTGCCCCTGCACTTCCTCCCTTGCCTGACTTTAATCTTCCATCCTTTCCCTGTAATAAATCATAACCATGAGAGTGATAGCCTCCAGTGTGTTCTGAGAATACTTCTGGAAAATTACTGAACCTGAACGTGGGTTGAGGAATATCTCTCTTGAACTTGCAACTAGTGTTGGAAGTGAGGGAGTCTTGGGAACAGTTTAATCTAACCCCACAGTTCACCCTAAACTCTTAGCAAAGCTTCCATTTTAAAAAAAAAAAAAAAAAAAAAAAGCTTCTTCCCCTTTCACCATGAGGCCCCTTCTCCAGGGTTCTCCCATTGCCTCTTCCCCACGTACCCAGGGACCCTGTTCTGCCTATCTGTGTCTGCCCAGAACTTCTCATCTGCCACCAATCCCTTGGTTGACGCCCCATCTACACCTGCCTGAAGCTGACACAGCCTCCTGGCTGATCCTCTTCCCTAGGTCTCTGCACTCCCATCTGTATCCTGCCACCAGCATGGGCGTTCCAAACCGGTGACCTGGCCACAGCCAGCCCTGCTTAAAGCCTCCATGGCTTTCTGCGCGTAGAAAGTCCTGAGCGTGGCTTCAACTTCCAGCTCATCCTCCCAGAGGCAGCACCTCCCAGCTCCACAGGCTCCTCTTCGGAGTTCCCATTTTCTAGGCAGACACTCTCATGTCACATTTCCTTTCCTGCCCAGCTTGGCCTGGACCTTGACCTTGAGGGCAGAGACTGCGGCTTCTCCACCATCCTATCCTGTGCAGAGCCTGGAGCTGGCCCTCAACATGGTTCTTGGGTGCAATTGCTGAATACAGTGTTAGCAATAAGACAATGAAAGACTGAGCAAAATACGTACAGATGCTAATGATTCCTTTCCCATTTCATTATTTTCCTAACTGTGGAGGAGGGTGGGGAGGAAGAAAAGCAATTAGAGTGGATAAGTTGTCTCCAAAATTCATTAGCTGTTTCCAACCCACACTTTGTTGCTACCTCACATGCCAGCTCAGAAAAAGGACCTCAAGCTGGGCCGAAGCTAAAGAGAAAATGAGAACGTGCCAGTCTCGGAAATAAACATGCGTGTCGCCTCCAACGCAGACAAATCCTGACAAGACCATCTCGCTGTCAAGTCACCAGCCTCCTGGGGCTTTTCAATTCTTTCCCTGGCAGGCTTGCAGGTCATCCCTCGCTGGGGAGACCAGTCTGATAAGGTTTATCTTTCCCAGAGAACGTGCCTTTCAACAGGAGAACTTTCCAGAAGGAAAGCAGCGGGTGTTTGTGGCAGGCTGGAGTGCTGTAGAGCAGCCGTGGCCTGTCCGTGCACCTGACTGGGCACTGCACCTGACAGATGTTCTTTGAAACCTCATTGGTACCCGTCGTCCCCAGCTCCCGGCGTTGTCTCAGGTGGACACGGGCCCGAACCACAGCGTGGTCCTCCTCAGCAGGCGGGGCTGGACCAGGAAGAGGAGGACAAGAGGAAACCGCAGGGGCTGGAGGCGGGAAGGGCCTCCTGGCACTCCGGGGCTTCTCACGGAGCTAGCTCCCTCCCTCTTTGTGTCTTCCCTCTGACCCATCCACCCCAATGGTCCCCGACTCCCACCCCAACCCCCAGCTCCCTTGCCAGGCAGTGGGAGTGTGATCACCTCAAGTGACAGTTTCTGGTGCAGGCAGCATCACTACTACAGCCATGCACCGTGAAGACAGGACAAAGCCCCCATTAGATTCCTTTTCCCTCACCTTTTCCCGGTATAGGACAGAGAACCAAAATAGAACAAAAGTAAAAAGAGTATTTAGGGCAAGTGCCCAATGTGCTTAAAATGAGAAAACATCAGAGCTGAGAGAAGCCTTTGAAGGTAACTGTGCCAGTGGATTAACTGATAAAAACACGGAGGCCCAGGGTAGGGCAGGGGGCTACTCAGGGTCACAGGCCAATACTCTCGGAGCCAGGACCGGAAGCCAGGTCACCTGTGCACATGGGGCTCGTCCCCCATGCAGGGCCCCAGGGAACAGCAATGCCTGCCAAGAGCCGGGGCTGAGCTGAGCACAGTCCCAGTCCCCCTTCTCCCCAGACGGGTACCTGGCCGAGCCTCTGTGTCCCCAACTAGGGATGGGCACCTGGCTGAGCCTCTGTGTCCCCAACTAGGAATGGATACCTGGCCAAGCCCCTCTGTCCCCAACTAGGGATGGGTACCTGGCCGAGCCCCTCTGTCCCCAACTAGAGATTTCAGTTGCAAGTCCCCATCCAGCATCCCCACTAGTCCCAATTCTTCATTTGGCAAATAAGCTGAGCTGGTGCCACCATGTGCCAGACACCCCACTAGGCAATGGTGATTTGCTGCTAACAGACAAGGCCCTGGCCTCAGGGAGGCTGCAATCTCGTGGTGGAGACAGGGCTGAACTGGTAAAGAAACAGACTTCAGCGATCACCTTGTGATGCACAGATGGAGAAAGGAGTGGCTGGAGAGAAGACAGGCAGAGTAAAGCAAGCCCTGGAGCAGGTTTCCCCCACCCAGAGGGCAAGGAGAAGGGAGTGGTGGCTCTGTAACTTGAGCCCACAAACACCGACCTGGAGGGCCTGAGAAACAGACCATGGCCCTGTCCCCAGAGTTTCCGATTCAGGAGGTCTGGGGCTGGCTGAATGCTTGCACTTCTGACAAGTTCCCAGGGGCTGCGGCTGCTGCTCGTCCAGGCACAGGGCTTCTCCAGCCCTTGCTCTGAGGCAGGCGCACTGGCCGCTCTGAGCACCCCCCAGGGTAGGGTGTGCTGCAGAACAGTGGCGGGGGCTGGCCAGAGGCAGAGGGGTCTGTGCTGCCCCTGCATCCTGGTGCCACAGGAAGGCAGTGAATGCCTCCCTCGGGGTGTGCAGGGGGCCCGGGTGCCTTACAAAGCTGCCCTCCCAGGGCTGTGGCTGGGCTGGGATTCACAGTTAAGGGAAACTGGCTTCTCCTCCCAGAAATAAACATTCACCTCTAAGAGGAAGGTTTCTGATTGCCTGGCTCTTTCTCTGCTATGTGAGCTCTCCAGGGACTGAAGAGAAGATGAAGGGACAATCTGTTACTGCCACATCCCTCCTGTCCACTAAGCCTGCCCCTGGGGATCTCCTTGACCAGAGGTGCCCGCCAAACTGCTATCTTGTCATCCTCAGCAAAACACAAAATTGAACATAAAAGCCCAGGCCTCGTGCCAGCAAAACCCTTTGCTTTCAGGAGCCAGCTAGGGAAGGCAGAAACTCCCTGAGTTTCAAAGGCCATCGACCTGGGATTGAACCTTGAGCCTGCCTGATACCAGCTATGGGTGGGAGAATGAACCTCTCTGTGAGCCTCAGGGATCCCATCTGTAAAACGGGGATGGATTTCAAGGATCTCTAATGAGACAATGCATTGAAAGGGATTGGGACAGGGTCTGGCAGTAATGAACAAAGGTTAGACGCCTTTCCTCTCTCACAGGTGGAGTTTTAGAAACCTTTTATCAGGAAGATTCAAGCATACACAACACCGGGAGGACACGATGGTGCCGTGAACTTATGGCTTAGTCTCAGCAGTGCTCTCACGTTTATCAGCAGTGCTCTCACGTTTATCAGCAGTGCTCTTAAGTTCACAGTTGGAGTGCTGACCCAGAGCAGGAGGGCAGGGGCACACCCTCCCTTCTCTGTGGGAGAAAGCACCCAAACGTTTGGTCCTGGGGCACTGGATGGGGGTGTGAAACGCTCTGCCTGGTACAAAGTGCCCAGTAGCATGCAGACTACACGTGCACATTAGATATTCACTCTTCTGTGGCAAGAAACACTATTTAAAGCTATTAAAATAAACTGTGCCTTGAGTCAGGAGATCGCCGCTGCCCTGCCTCTCCCTGCCCATCGAAACCCAGCCCAGCTGAAGCGGCCTCCTCCTTCCTTCCTCCTCCTAGGAGTCACAGTGCAAAGCCCAGGCCTGCCCCACTCTTCCCAGTCCTTTTCAGGCAGTCTCCTGCAGAGAGAACTCAGCAGTCCCAGGGCCTGCAGGGGAGGGCTCGAGCCCCTTCTACGACCATACTAGCTGGATACCTTGTCCCTCACTGTCCTCATCTGCTGACAGTGACACTGACGACTCCTGTCCTCCCACCCACCCACTGGGTTTGTTTTGAGAGTCACGCAGCACCATGAATAGGAGAAAGTTTCAAAAGGCGCAATGTGATAGAAATGCCAAGGTGGGGCCACACGCCTCATTCCAAGCACACAACTGGTCACAGCGCCGTCCCGCACCTTCTCTCCTGGACCAGGGCCTGCCACACCATGGGTGCAGCATTGCAACCACTGAGGATCAGATCACTGGGGAAATGTGAGGCCAAACACACGTCTAAGGGAAGCTGGGTTACAGGCCTAGATTTGGGTCCTATCCTCTGCTTACTGGCTGTGACTCCAGAGGAAGGCTGCCTCCCTGAGCCTCAGTCTTCCCAGTAATAATCAGGAAGCCCCAGGCACGGGAGGGCCTGCGTGAAGGTGCAGTGCCAGGTCGGTGCTGGGTCTACACTGGCTGAATCCATCACTTCCCATCCATACTCTGACCAGCACAAGCAGCCTCCTTGGCAGGCTGCACCTGGTGGCTCTGATCTACCAGGAGGCCCCTGGGCAGAGAAGGGGGCCAGGCAAACGGAGTCACCTGGCCAGCTGGGGCCAGGAACCACCCGCTGCCTTCCTCCTCACCCCTCCCTCGGTCAAGGTGCTGGCCTCAGACAGGGCCTGAAGGCCATCAACCAAGTTATTCCTTTGCTGAAAGAAGGCCCCTAGGAAAGACAGGACAACATTCCTATTTGCTTCCTCTTGGATTTTCCTTGGATTTTTCCTTCAAGATTCATTCCTGGGGGAGGCCTGCGCCCCCGACCCTCGGGGAACAGATCTGCACCCCCGCTCCCCACTAAAGTAGGCGAATCCCTCAGCCGCACTTTAAATTCACCTGGAGACGGGCTTCTGACGACACTACAAATTTTGTTTGCAATGACCATTGTTTAGGATTTCAAATTATGTCACTTAATAATGCTGGGGAACTTCCTCTCTTTGCTTTGCATTTATAAATACTGGCTGATTGAGTGAGAGCGTGCGTGCCAGCCAAAGAAGGGAGCTCGGAGCCACCAATCCCTGTGAGGGGAATAATCTCGTGGTCAGGAGCTAGGGGAGACACAGCCAGGCCTGTCTGTTCAGATTCACCTCTGTGCCCCCGCGTCTTCAGAGATGAGGACGTACAGGGAGGGCAGCTCTGCTGTGAGGGTTTTACAGCCAGCTGAGGGGACGAGGGGACGAAGGGACAGGGAGGCTAGAGCGGCCTTCCTGTTTTCTAACATTTTCTCAAATGGCAAGCCGTTATATTTTGGGGCAGTGTGTCCTGAACCCCATCAACAGTGATGGCAATTCAGCCCTTTAGAAAGATGCCTGGTGCAATGGATCAAGGTGAGAAGGGGCCTGGGGAGGGGTTATCTCCCAGAGAGAGGGGAGTTGTGCAGGTGAGGGTAGCAATAAAAGGGCCAGTAGTTGCATCCGAGCAGCAGCAGAGGGTAAGAGAACAGTGGAACTCTCTAGAAATAACAGGGAGAAAGAGGGACAGGGACTCGTGGGCGGACTGGATCAGGCATGGTGAATGATGGGGAAACCCAGTCCACGTGCATGTTCCCCGATTTGCATGCCAACCTTGATATCTGACCCATCATAGCGCTGGCTCTTAGCTGCTGCTATTACTGTTTACGCCTGGGACTGAGGGTCCTCCGTGCGGGGCTTGCAGGAGGGAGTCTCGCTCTGTCCACCTGCAGCAGGAAAGTGTTGATGTGGCCTGAGTCACAGCTGCAGTTCAATTCATGTCTGTCGCCACACACTGGGTGCCCCTCTGTGCTCAGCATCGTGATCAGTGCTGGAGGAAACCCCGACAAACCCACCTTGAGGTGCCACGCCCAGTGCCCCTTTCCTCCTGCCAACCCCAGCCCCGAGACCCCCTCAGGAAGCCGCCTTGAGGGCCGGGCCAGGCTGCCCTGCCTGTTTTCTCAGACTCACTGCATAGGGGTCCAGGGCCAAGAGCCACAGCTGAGAGCGGTTCTGGGTCACGAAGCCAGGCCGACGAGCTGTGCTGGCCAAGCCACACAGAAATCGAGTTTCCCCAAGACCCTGTGTCCCCTGTGATGGTGGCCATAGGGCCACTGGTCATTCCCCCTTTGACAATCAAAGCCCTCTGCCCCACTGCTCTCTTCATCAAACCTAAGCACAAATAGACCAGTTTCCTGCTTCGCCGGGTCTCCATTCCCTTATGAAGGCTCCTTCCCGGGTCACAAGAAATGTATGTTAAACAAATACGTGTGCTTTTTCCTATTAGTCCTTTATTACAGGTGCCTCCTCCATGAACATGGTAATCAGACGTTTCTTTTGCACTCCTACACTATCCTCTGCTTAAAATCCTGAGGGGTCCCATCTCTCTTGGGGTGACATCTGACGTCTTCTGAGGCTCACTAAGTCCCGGTGGTGCAGCCCCAAGTGCCATGCGCCCAAGCCCCCTCCCTCCCTGCCCTCATCCCCCACACCACACGGCTGGCTGCTCTGCATGGTGGGGGTACTGACCACTGGGACTCTACACACGTGGCCCTCAGTTTCCTGGCCGGCTCATCCTTCAGGCCTCAGCACAGACATTCCCTCTCCTAAGAACCCGCCTGATGCTCTGTTCTCGGGTGGTTCTCTGGGGACCAGAGCTCCCTGCCCAGCCTCAATCTTCTCTCCCCACCAATTGCACAGGAAGGCAAGGACCATACCTGTCCCGGCACTGCTGCGGCCCCAGGACCCAGCACCACGCAGGGGACATAGCAGGAAGAATTAACACAGGAATACATGACAGACCCATCACTCTAATCCTTACAACAACCTAGTAAAGCAGCATTATGACCCCATTGTATGACAAAGCAACTGAGTCTCAGAGAAGCAGAGACAATGGCCTAGAGTCACACAGCCAGCAAGTGCTCAAGCTGGGAACCTGACCCACACCAATGGGGCTTCCAGAGTACACTCCTCCTACCTGGCACTACAGCCAGGCCCTGGGGTTACCTGTGTCCTGTGGCATCTTCCTTGCCAAACTACAAAGTCCAGCAGGACAGCCTGGAATCCCACCCGCTGCCCCGATTGCTGCCTTCCAGATACGATGGCCTCTGTAATAAGAAACAGCAGGCAGAGCCTCTTGGCCTAAAGCTCCCCACCTTGGGGGCTTCCGAGATTCCAAAGCAGGACTGTTCGTGCCTGGCCCCAGGAGAAGCTGAGCAGAGCACAGCTTGTAAAGCCACTCCGGGACAGGCAGCAGCATCAGCCTCAATGCAAAAGCCCTGCTGATGAAGCACTCAGCCAGCCCCGGGAGCCCAGCATGGAAAACCATCCTGCAGCTAAAAGGTGCTGAATTCACCATTAACAGCTTTTTGCATTCAAAAAGGCTAGAAATTTACAGACACAGTCCTGAAGGAAAAACATGAGATACGACTGAGGAATCAACAGAAAATATTTTTCAATTGAGACGCTGTCAGAGAAGCAATGAAAATCATTGGTGGGTAATTTTTTAAACCAACAAAACAAACCACCTCTCGAGAGAATGCTCTTCAGACAATTTGAGAGTTGGGTGTCCTCGTCTCTGCCGATTCTAATTGCTGGGTGTCTGGCTAAATGGTAATCTTCCTAAACGCCCCCTCAACCTCCTGCCGAAGGAGGAGGGGGGAGGTGGCAGGTGACCAGCAGGGAAAAAGGCAGGGAGCCAGTCTAAGAGCCCCTCAATTTTCAGCTTTTACATCTGTGAATAATGGGGAACAGCATTTGCACATTAAAACGCTTCTCTCTGTTCCTATGCTAAAACCCAAACCCACAATGCCACTTGCATAACAACAACAAACCAGCTCCTTCTGCCAGGGGCCGGCTCGGGGATACGCACAGGCATGGCGTTGTTGAGGGTGTTGTTGTAGACACAGGCGCGCAGTGAATAATCAAGCATGCAATTTTCAAACAGCTGCAGCGCTTCTGTCACTTTCTCATGGAAGTCATCTGCAGATTTATTCGAACTTGCAAAGTAGAGATAGTCTGAGTACAACCTGTGAATAAAATAAATGTGTATTTTTACCACCCATGAATGTGCAATCACACCATTTGGGCGACAATGAAAATCAACGTACAATTACATGATCGAGTTCTCCTGATTGAAACACTGCCACCCCTCTTCCTTCCCTTGCAGACAGGCCGCCTCCCTCACCCTCCCCCCCAGCTCCCGCCCTTCTCGGCCACTTAAGCTCCCGAGACTCAGGCATGTCCACACTGGCCCCAAACAAACTGCCAGCCACTTTTATGTTGTTGCTCGTTCTAGTCATCTCAGGCAGCTCTGTTTTCACAGTAACAGGGAGCTTCAAAACAACACCAGATTACAAAAATGGTACGCTAGCAAAGAGAAGCCATGAAAATTTTATGTGCCTTCCCATTCCTCTATTCTCCACTGAAGGGAACAAAAAACAACAGCATCTGTTGTTCTCGCAATATTACCATTCCACATGAAATTCCCAGGCCTTTGCACACACATTCCTGACATTGAAAAAAAAAATGATGAAATGTGTCTTTCTAGGTTGGTAGGACCTCACTTTTGACACAATGTAAAAGCACCCCCATGTGTGCACATGAATACCTGCGGACTCACGCCTTCACCCGTGGACACAGGTCTGTTCGTTCGGACACCACGCACACACGTGGAGGAACGCATCTTCCTCCTTGACGCATTGCAGGCTCCTCTGCATCCCCCTTCCACCTAGACCTCAACTTTTCTACCTCCGTGTCCATCTTTGCATCACCCTCTTTTAGCAGGAATCCTGCTGTTAAATAAAATGGATGAGAGGCCACCATTCTGGTTGGAGCTTTTGCACTAGGCTCCAACAGGCCGGAACAGCATCATCCATGCTAGGTGCCATGTCACTCAACTCATAATGGGCCAGTTTCCAAAAAACCAGGAGATTCACAACAACAGTCAGACATCCCCTTTGCTTTAACCCGAGAAGGAAAGTCACTTTGAAATGAACAATCCACTCTCTGTTCCCTGTTTTTGCTTCTTCAGCCCGTTTCTGCCTATAAACCCAGGACCTGGCTGGGCCCACAGGGGCACCTTCATATTACAGGAATGGGATGCTGCCCTGTTCATGGACTGTGCTCATAAACACCAGTGAGATCTTTCAACTACATGTGTCTAAATGTTCACTGCTGACACTGCTATGCTGGTTTAGCCAGAATCCCCCACCCTTAGTAACTGATCACCCTTCTTAGCTCATCAGGTTCCTAGTCCACCACCCCAGCCCCCAGAAGGTCACCTGGCCTGTCTCCAGCAAGAGTCCTATCAGGTTGGTTTAGCCAGAATCCCCACCCCTTCCCCCTTGATGTATCCCCTCAGTAATTTCCCAGCCACCAACCACCTCGCCCTGCTCCTTGGCTTTTTCTTATTTATTTATTTTTTTGTGTGTGTGAGACAGAGTCTCGCTCTGTCACCTAGGCTGGAGTGCAGTGGCATGATCTCAGCTCACTGCAACCTAACCTCCTGGGTTCAAGCAATTCTCCTGCCTTAGCCTCCCAAGTAGTTGGGACTACAGGCACCTGCCACCAAACCTGGCTAATTATTTTGTATTTTTCATAGAGACGGGGTTTCACCATATTGGCCAGGCTGGTCTTCCTGACCTCAACTGATCCACCTCCCTTGGCTTCCCAAAGTGCTGGGATTATAGGCATAAATCGTGTCGCCTGGCCTCCTTGCCTTTAAAATCCCTACTTTTCCTAGTTATATTTGGAGTCTCTCTCCTCTGTTGGAAAACTGTCATGGCGATCCCTATACCTACTAAAATGCTCCTGAAAAAGGCCTGCATTGCCATTTTAACAAATGTCAGGGCCAGGCACAGTGGCTCATGCCTGTAATTCCAGCACTTTAGTGGGCCAAGGTGGGAGGATCGCTTAAGCCTAGGAGTTCAAGGCCCGCCCAGGCAATGTAGCAAAACCCTGTCTCTATTAAAAACACAAAAAATTAGCTAGGCGTGGCAGTACGTGCCTGTAGTCTCAGCTGTTCGGGAGACTGAGGTGGCAGAAGGCTTCAGTGAGCCATGATTGTGCCATTGCACTCCAGCCTGGGCATGGGAGTGAGACCCTGTCTAAAAAAAAGAAGGGTTTTTATCTTCAACAGAACTTTCAGGGTGTGTTTCCTACTCTTTTTTCTCCTCCATCTCTCCTTGCAGCCCTTTTTGTTTGTTTTCGACCTTCCTGCCATACGTCCACTCTCTTCTTGCACACACACACCTCCTCATGAGCCCCATGGTTCTCCCCGGAACCCTTCACACACTCACAGCCTCTGCTGTGTCACCTCTGGGCCAAGGGGGAAACTGGGATTATGAAAAATGCGGCCTGCATGGCTCTAGTGTCAGACTTCTCTCCCCTCAAAGCTCTATACTTTCTATGCCTTCAGCTTCTCCAATCTGGCTTCCCCTCTTTCCAGGGAAGGCAATTCTGTGACTCTCTCTGCACCCATGCATCTGGGTATATGACACCCATACTTCCAAATACACCCAGACCTTCAGCCACACACTTCAGCAAAAACCATGCTCCCTTATAGCACAGTCTTACAAATGTGCCTTCTCCACTACCCTCCACTCTAACTAAGGTCATGATACGAGGAGCAGCATTTCATAGGGACAGGCCCAGATGCCATCCACCTCTGTAGCCCGTCCTGGCACATGGGGTGCCTCTGACACAGCCCTCTAGAACTCATCCACGGCCAGTGTCCACAGAGGACACCTCCTGGAAGTCTTGAGAGGTTTGGGATCTACCCACAGAGTTCGTGCAATCAAAACAGCCACAAGAACAGGAGTGTTGTGTCCACCACAGCCTGGCCAACCACACCGTCCAAAGGGATCAGTCAACAAAGGTGCTCACTGAGTGGATTCCCCCAGATCCGCACTCACCTGAGAATATTCCCCATGACAACACCACATCAGCTTATTACTGGTGTCCCCAACATCACCTGTGCTGTTTTCCTTCTTCAAAATTAGGAGACACATCAAGACTGAAACACGGCATCTGTCACTACAGTGTCACTCATCGTTACTACGCCCTAAACAACTGATCAATAAATGGCAAAATCAGATATGCGTGACTCTTCAAGCAAGGTTTGGCTGTGTGCACTGAGGATGCCAGGTGGCAGTTGGTCTAAGGGGTACCCTTCCTGGCTCACACATTTCCTACCAGGCCTGTCAATATTATGGCTCAGCCCAAGAAATTACGTCAATGAAAAGTAACAGATGCTTCTGAAACTGTCATAAAATCCTATGTTAAATAAGAAGTCGAAGCCCAGTTTTTACCAAAGATGCCCACGGAACTACCCAAATTGTTTGGTGGAACTGGGATTCCATCACATAAATTACCTCATACAAACCCAAACATTGGCTGAAGGTTTCCATATTGAGATTTTTTCTTTGTGGTAATAACATTTCTTGCAGATATTTAGCTCATAAATAAAACAAAAGCACTCAGGCCTGTCTTGATTTTAAATACAAAGTCAATTCATGAGGAATCTGCTGATTCTATACAATTCTTTAGAGATCAAGAAGTAATCCCCGGGAAAAACTGAGACATACCTGATGTTCCAACCAGACAAATCCTCCCCTAGCAGGTGAAACGGCTGACTTTCGTTGTTTGGGGTGAGTTAAAGTGAACTCACTACCTCACTTCCTGTCAGTCACATTCACAGCCTTTGAGAGCCAGGCCACACTTTTCTCCCTGGGCTGAATGAAAAGAGACTCCTTTGGCCTCTCAGTCACCTGTGGGTAGTTTGGATCTGCCCACAAAATTGGCAGTGGGCTTTGGGAGCTCCTAGAATCCCACTGCGAGAGCTCCCTATGCCGGGTCCTTGGCATCCTGCTATGTCACAGACATCTGAACAGGGTCTAGATTCACCGCAACCCATGGCCACCATCTGGATTCTGTAGTTGGATGGATAGTGGACACCAAAGAACTATGTCCAAGTCTTAAGCCCCAGGCCCTGTGAATGTGGCCTTACTTGGAAATAGGCCTTTGCAGGTGTAATTAAGCAGAGGATCTTAAGACGAGATCTTCCTGGATTTAGGGCGCTCCCAAATCCAATGGCAGGTGTCCTTTTAAAAAGAGGAGAGGACAGAGACACTGGGGAGAGCACCATAGAAAGACAGAGGCAGAGCCTGGAGTGTGACGGCTGTGAGCCAGGGAATGCTAAGGACTGCGGGAAGCCACCAGGACCTAAGAACAGGGGACAGCTTTCATCCCTTAGGGCCACCAGAGGGAACCAACCCTGCAGACATCTTGATTTAGGACTTCTGGCCTCCAGAATCATAAAAGGATACATTTCTGTTGTTTTAAGCAGCCAAGTTTGTGGTGATTTATTACGAATGCTCTAGGAAACCGATACAGATTTTAAACCCCAATTCCAAGGAAAACAATAACTCCAAGGAGTTATTTTTGCAGACATCTCTCTGCCACCCTGAGACCCGGGAATCGCGGCCCTAAGGGCACAGGAGGACTAGGGCCATGTGGCCAGGTTTCCCACAAGGAAGCATGAAGGAAGGCAAATGCAGACAGGAGCACTTCCCTTCAGGGGAGCACTGGGACAGGAGAGCACTGTTTGGGTTCCTCCCCAAGAACTAAGCAAATGCTTCCTAAGGCTGTCTTTTCCCTCAACTACTCTCCAGGGGAAAAGAGTGAGTTAATAGCCTTGGGTGAGAGAAAGCCACTCGGATGGGTTAAAGCCACTCAGAATATGTTGAGAAGAACAGCAAATCTATCAAGAATAAGTATCCAATGGACCTTGAAAGGCCAGACAGGCACACCATGGAACAAGATGAAACACAGAGACAAACTGAAATGTCCGTATTCTAGTCTTTAAAATCCACTGTCCCATGAGGAAGTGGAGGAAGGAGACCAACATGGAAAACACACAGCTCACAATCACAGAACTGCAGGGGCATGGATGCAACCCCGGGATGCATTAACAGAGGCACAGTATCAGGAACGTGGGAAGGTGGAGCCAAGCAACAGGCAGCTCACG